GTGGCTCAGTGAAACAGAAGTAACCAGCAGCCACCATAATCAGACCTATTTCAAAATTATTTAAAACAATCTGAATAGTTCAACTATTTCAAACAGTTTGGCAAATTAAAAATAAACCAGCCGTACACAAGACCAGCTTTTCTCAACCTTTTTTTTTACTCTGGAAAAATTCTTGAAATAATCTTCAGATCTCAGGGAATGCCTGCATAAAATTTAATATCCCTATATCAGATTTAAAAAAAAAAATCTCCAATCATCTCATGGAACCCTTAGCAAACTTTCATAGAATCCTAGGGTTCCAGGGAAATGCTGAACAGGACACAAACCAAGGCTTAAATCCAGTTGTTAATTCCATCCCACTGAATGAATGAAATGTACCTTGCAACTCTTATGGATTCACATTATACATTGGATGATCTTGCACCAAAAAATGCACAAAAGAACTTTAATCTTGCTTTTAAAAATGTGTAGCTGTCTGAAAAGAGTGTGGTTCCCATACCTCTCAAAAAGTCCACATGTATTTCTGTGCAAAATGAGGCTGTTGCTACACTGTAGAATTGATGTAGTGTGACTGCACTTTAATTTTGAATTCTACCACTTTAACTTTTATGGTTCCATCCTATGAAAACCTGAGATTTGTAGTAAATACAAACATTTGTAGGCACAGGCATTATATAGCATGAAGTGTGTGTGTGTGTGTGTGATGGGGGAGACATATCAGCAGCCAATTGTAGTATGATAAGAAAAAACTTCCTGCTCAGCCCCCAAAAGGCAACTGCAAATTTCCATGCTATATAGAGGCAGGCTGGGAGGGAGCAGAAATGGTGAAGAGGCTGAAGCTGCATCTGCACTGCAGAAATAATGAGTTTGATACAGCATTACTGTGGCTCAATGCTATAGATTCCTGGAATTTTTAGTTTGTTGTGGCACCAAAGCTCTCTGACAGAGAAGGCTGAAGAGCTCACAAAACTATGAATCCTAAGATTCCATAATACTGAACCATGGCAGTTAAAGCAGTGTCAGACTGCTATTCCCAGAAATGGTGACACCTGGTATGGGGGGGGGGACTTCTGATTCCAGACTTCTGGAGGGTTTCCAGGGTGAGGAGGTATAAAGGAGCCTCCACACTGGGTGAAAGCAGCCCCAAAAGCCCCGACGCTGGGCCCAGGAGGTCTGAAATGCCCCCGCACTGGGCCCAGGAGCAACCGCATGAGCCAAAGCAGCACCCATGGGGGATGGGGATCTGACTTGGTGTTACTCCCTATTCTTGGGTGTCACCCCCCCCCTCTTTTCTGTGGTGTCACCCAGTGTGGTCAGCACCCAGTGACTCTACTGCTATGTAGCTGCAGATATATTTTCCAGAACACTTTGGAATGAACAAATTTCCAGTTGAGAATTTCGCAGAACTATCTGTTTTGTTCATAGCTGGGACAAAACAGTGGAAATTATTTGTCCTCAAATAGAGCAGAATCACTGAATATTTACTTCTCTATTCTCGTACTCCCCTCAGCTCTTGAGAGGTGTAGAGTAATGGATGCATCCAAAATGAAGGCATAATTTTTCAAGCTACATTGCATCCTCTGAAGGGATTTTAAAACTCTGTATGCCCTGAGGAAAAAAAATGGTTTCCCTAAAGTGATCTGGATGATTTTTGATGGTGTGGGGCTATTAAAAAGAACATTGCATAAGTTGACCACGATAATGGGGAAAGTTGACATACATGATTTATAAGCTTCTGATGGAATCCCACTTAAGTTCCACTCCATCTGACAATTATTCCATGGAGACAAAAAAAGAGAGAGAGAGATAATTTATAACCATGATTCTGAAGGATTCCTGTCTGAAAATAATGGTAATCATAACTGTGGAACAGGCATTATTGTCCCCACAAGTAAGTGTTATCATGAGCATGAATATTTTCTTATTTAAACATCTGTTTATCAAGTACTTACCTTTACATTTTAAAACTGAAAGATGACTAACACTAAGTAATTGAAGTAATTCTTCAATTCTAAAAAAGTGGGGGAACCATCACTACATTTGCCAAAAACAGAAAATGATATTATATAACACAAGAATTCCCATTATAAATCTTTTTTTTTTCCCCATGGATTGTTCACATTATAAAACAGCCTTTTCAGACAGTGTTTGGCTTACCCACTTTTGAATGTTCTGCACATGGTGTTTTATCTACTTAGTTCAACAATATGTTTTATCAGTTAATAATTGTGAGCTATCTTTCATATTGAAATGACTTATGTGCTTCTAAATGCAAAGGCCAAGATGAAACCCTGACAGCTGCTGAGGCCCAGGGGTTATGCTGAACATTATCTCAAGTCTAATTCTATTTTTAAAGAAAAAATATGGGGCATGTGTCAGAATATGTGTGAGAAAGAGAGAAAAAGAGATAGAGATACATTGTTTACTGGCCTATTACAATATCATGTTTATTAATTGTTTGTTCTCCTGATCGATAGGAATCATTCATGGCCCAGGAGTAAGATAAGCTGTCTAGGGACTGAGCTTCAAAAAGTCACCATCTTGGACTACATCTTTCAGAATCTTTTGATTCAAAGATTGCAGAAGCTGAAATGCAAACAAGTAACTGTTCCAAGCTCAAGAGAACTATCTTGGGTATTGGCTTCAGGCAGTGGAGACTCATGGTTAAAGTAGGAGGGGCACTTTGGCCCAAAGCAGTAGGATGAGATGTTTCCTCTCCTGCTTGGAGAATGGGCCACCAAAAGCTGAGGAGCAGCAAAAGTATATAAAGGATGTTGTTCAGAAAAGTGTTTTCAGCCCTTAAAAGAATCGCGCACACAAACACACAAAACCAATTCCCACTTTGAGATTCCCACTTACAAATGAATTGGTTTGTGATCTGAATTGATGGATCAGTTCGACAGTGGAGTGTGGTTCACACTACATTTGCCCCAATCATATTTTCTTGCTGTAAAATAATCCACATTGATGAATGAATCGACTCAAAATGGACCCGCTTCAGCCGACCAAAGGGCAAATTTAAATCGATTCCAATCCACATCTGGTTCTTGGGTGGAATCAATTTATCAAAAAAAGACATGGAAAAAAATCAGCATCAAAAAGATATGCATTAAATGGGTCTAGCCCATGCCACCCCCCTCCAAACTGCTTCAGCCATTCCATTCAAGTGCAAACCAGGGTCATTTAAATTGCTTCAAACTGGTTTGCAAACTGGTTTAAACTGTAGTGGGAATCAGGCCACAGATGGCTATGTCTGTGCTGGTGATTTGGTCTCCATTTGTGATTGTGTCACACAGCTGCCAAGAAATAAAAATTTGAGACAGCCCTGAAATCAGGCACAGCAGAACAGCCACCTTGAGCAGCAAACTATGACTGGCATATTCAGCTAACAATGTAAACATGCATAATCCATGCTAGTGGGGTAAATTATTCACCATTACATAACAGACATATTTTGCTGACAGTGGTGAAAACAGAGTTGGATGTACAGCAACATTGCAGTTTCATGCTGTGCATGCAAATTGCCTATTGTGCAACAGCCATTGATAATGATAATAATAATAATAATAATAATAATAATAATAATAATAATAATAATAATAAATTTTATTTATATGCCACCCTGTGACAAGCCAATCCAGGCGGTGTACAATAGTAAAATAGGTACAGCTTAAAACAGTATAATTCCCTCCTCCCCCGTATAATTCCCTCCTCCATGTGTTGTTCAGTGTTACTATTCTGCATCAGATTGCATAGCACTGGCATAGCTTCTCCCCACATGTGGATATTGACAATGTGTTGAAGGGATGTTGGATTGAAGCCTTTGTATGTAACACAAGGGCAGCAAATTAGTTGTTAATTAGTTAATTTGTTGTGTTTTTAAGCAACAGCAAGAGGTAACTGATTCATTTTCTTTTTCCTGTGCAGTGGTGTCAGCAGGGTTGATTTCACCCATTGTGGTAAGTCATGGTGTTACCCCCATGGGTATGTGGATGGGGAGCAGGATCTCACCCAGGGGAAACCAACTTCCTGCCACCCAGCATCTCACCCCCAGCTGAGATAACAAAAATGGGACATGACTCTGAGCAAGAATATGGCTTTTTTTAAAAAAAAAAGAAAATACAAACAATATCCACCCTTGAGAAAAGATGCAGTAGCTTTCCATGGCTGAGCGGGGAATGGAATCCTGATCTCCAGAGTCATAGTCCAATGCTCAAACCACTACAACACACAGGCTCACAGCAAATAGCCATCACCACTCCGGACATTGGTAGAAAGAAGCCAAACAGACTGAGAGGGAAAGGCTGCAGGAAGGGGAGCAGAGAAAGTTTTGTGGCTCCACACTCATCCTTAACCCTCTGCTAAAGGGTAGTGCCATGCCAAGAAGAGTCCCTCTTTTCTTTCCGAAGGAGAGAGATCTTGGGATGCATCACTGCTGCCCAGTGTAATCCCCATTGATGGTGTCAGCCAGTGCAATCTGGACGTCCCACATACTCCTCGTGACACCACTATTTCTGTGCTAAAATAAACAGAGTTGGGTTTTGATTAATACACATTTTGTTGTGGTGAAAGGAGGACTTTTAGATTAGTCCTGCACTGCAAGAGAACTGCCTAATTAAACCAGTCTGTTCAGACTTTTATGATGCAAAGTGAAGCTCTACCAACAGTACCAAATATATTAATTGCATGATCACACTCCCGGCTTGGATTCTTATGCACCTTGCTATGCCACAACACAACACACTTTTCAAGTGGCTTATGTGACATAACTTAGAGAGGGCAGCAGAGCAGGGTGGACTTTGACATCACTGTGACATTCCTCCCAGCTCTGCCTACCATAATGTTAGCTGTGAAGGTTTTACTACCACAGTACCAACTTAGTGTTTCTGTTGTTTTTGTTGTGTGCCTTCAAGTTTTTTCCAACTTATGGTGACCCTAAGGTGAACCTATCGTGGGGTTTTCTGGGACTGAGTATGTATATCTCACCCAGTAGCTTTCTATGGCCAAGCAGGGAATTGAATCCTGATTTCCAGAGTTGTAGCCCAATGCTGAAACCACTACACCACACAGGCTCACCTTTTTAATACTTCAGTCTAATTCTGACATCTTTACTGTGGGGAAAATATTATTAGGATTAAGATCTGCTAATTTTGAACAAAAAGTGAGACTAAACCTGGAGGGATATGCATTTTATGCATTCATGAGAATAAGGTCCAGAAGTGAAATTTATTTCAAGAAGTAAAAAAATAAATAAATAGGTAGCTCATGCTAACACAGAGAGTGCTGGAATTCCAAATCAGCCACAGTGCTCAGGGAAGACCACTGGGAGCTATAGATCTTTGAAACCAGTTTTTGCTGGCTGAATGTTTTAAAAAGCTAAGGCTGCAACATGATTGCTTATTACACTCTTCTTTTTTTCCTGTGTCCACATACTAATTAATGCATTAAGCAATGTTTAAAACTAAGTGGGGCTTTAAAGATCCAGATGGCTCTTACACTGACAAACATGTGGAAAAGAGACATTTATGGTGCAGGTTTGATGCTGAAAGCCAAATTCTCAAAGTGATTTTTGAAAGGCACATACTGCTAGGAAGGTATTCATTTGACAATAAAGCTTAGAGAGGGATATTTTACTGATACCTGCAGCCCAGTGGTAAATTTGGGGAAGGGACATGCAACTTTCAACAGCAGTGGACAGGACTTGAGAGTTTAATAATTAATTTAACACAGTCAGTCAGACAGACATGTGTTTCCCTGTAAACGGAGTTCTCCACAACCTCCACCAGAAGCTAGCATCTGTATTGGTACAACCAACATTCTAATTCTTTATAGTTTTTGAAAAGTTTTTAAAGATGGAAACCTTCTATCTGCCTCTGTTATCAGGAGAGGAAAAGACAAATAACCATTCTATTAAAACAGGCTGTACAATGCTAATATGGAGACATCAGCTATGAGTCAAGTAGCCCATAATGATTTTGTTCTCCCTCTCCTTCCTTGAAATGCTACCATTTCTCATTGGTGAGGATTCCTGTCATTGTTTCCGAAAGCTGGTAACCCACTTGGAATATCGGGGTCATGGGAATTCAGAGGAGGGCGGGAGAGCTGAATTCAATACCAACTGCACTATTGAACAGTTGGCATTGGCTTCAGTCTTCCATGGGCAGTCAAGTGCAACTTCGGGAAAGCCCCTTTATAAAGCCATCCCTGTTGGGGACAGGTGGCAGCTGCATTGCAAAGGCAAAAGGGTAGAAAAAAAGAACTCATGGGAGCATGTCTTTAACAATTTAAAATGTCTTTCCATTCCTTCCCTCCCACCCTCAATCATCCCTCGCCCTTGTTTAGCTGAGTCTGAAGCAACAGCTGCTTGAATGGAACTGTCACATTGAAAACACATGCCATCTTCCATAATAGCAGATGCATTTTAGAGCATTATGAGAACTGTTCTCCTGCTACCAAAGCCAATAAATATTAGTATCAAAAAAGACAGATTATTAGTAAATCATAACTATTTGCATTTTTTAAAATCTCCCTGCCTCGGCAACTCTTTTTGCCTTATGGATACATTCCTTATATGGACATAAAATACAGCATTTCTTTCACTTACATATTCTGTTTCATTAAAATTGTTGGAGAATTAAGGGACACTAGGTTATTTCAGAGTAATGTACTGATTACAAATTAAACTATCATCTCTGCCTTCACAACCACCACTTCCACAACCTCCATAATGCTGTGATTATTTTCCCAACTTGAATTTTCCTGTCTGCATCTCTCCCATTGACAATGCATAGGTCCTGCCCAGGGCCTGATCTGAAGGCCCATGTCTACCATTAGAGAGGCAGAATATCCTGGGTTGCATATGCAGGCAGCAGTGTGATATTGGAAGAAATGAAATATTCAACCATGCTTTCAAAAGATCACCAACCATATAGACTCACTGATAATGGGGCCATCCCAAGGCTACTGAGGACCTTAAGTTAAAGAAGCATTTACAATAGAACCATAGCAACATGAAAGAAAGAACAATCCCCTTTGGTATGGAGAAGCCAGCATCTGTGAAGCTGAGTAACAGGGCATATCAGTTTTTCAAGTCAGAATGTTATAGATGCTTTTAACTCGGGATGACCTACTTCAGTTTGAGGGGATAAAGGACACCCAAGGCAGATCTATTTGTCCAGGCAATATGCTCTGCAACTCCTAACCTCATCTGTTCCCCTCATCTGCAGTCAAGAAGGCTTTTTTGTCAAGTAAAGTTCAGATGCCATTTTGAAATAGATGATGCCATCTTGCCTTTCACTGCTACCAGCCAAATATTTTGGACCAAATCTGTGTACATGATGAAGCCTAAACAGATCTAAATCTGATCAATGCCTGGATAGGTGACTTATAATCTGTAGTGGCTACCATTTTAAAATGGGTTGGTGGAGATCCAGGTTCAAACTTTCTCTCTGCCATGAAGGTTTCACTGGGTGACCTTGAAACAACCTATCTCCTTTCCCTCTCACTTTCTCTCTGTCATCCCAACCTATCCTACAATGTTGCAAGGACAGTAACAGTGGTTTCCCACAACTACCAACCATATGAAGGGGTAGTAGTAAGTATGTATCAATGTTTGGATATATGGCCACTCCCCATAACTCCCAAACTTGTGACTAGTTGGATACACAGCCAATGGCACCATGTGATAAGAACTTGTTGTTGTTGTTGTTGTTGTTGTTGTTGTTGTTGTAAGTCATTTCCAACTTATGGCAACCCTGAGGAGAACCTATCAAGGGGTTTTCTGGGAATGAGAGCATATGACTTGCCCAAGGTCACCTAGGGGGGATGCAGACCAGGGCATCCAGGACGCCCTGGTCCGGAGTGCCGCGGGGCCATGGCAGCCGCACTGCGGCGCTCCTGCGGCGTCCCTGGAAGGAGCGCTAAATATAAATGTATATTTATATTTATTAGAGTGACTAACCAAACAGAAATATCTGAACAATTTAATAAAATATTTAAGCTTCTTAAAACTTAATATTCAAATATTTATTTTTGATTAGTCACTCCAATAAACACATATTCTATCCAAGTGATTAATTGCATCCTTCTGGCATCCAGCACAGACTTAAGAGCTTTGGGGGGGTTCTAAAAATCCTTCCTCTCTTTACTTCTTCCTTCCCCCATTCATTCTCTCTCTCTCATTTTTTATTTTAAAAAAAAATTAAAGGCCCCTCATAATTTGAGGCTCTAAGCTGTAGCTTACTTAGGTTATCCACAGATTTAACTTGTGGATAAATCTGGCATTGCCCTCAAACGCAACTAATGAGAACAATCCACAGAAGCTTCTTTGTAAAGAATTGGAGTGCCTGCTTCAAGTATTTGATTATAAGCATGGTTTAGATATATGCTCACTCAGCCACTGCACAAAGGCTGGAGGTCTTGGCAAGATGGACCAATGATCTGACTTAGCATAAAGCTGCTTCATAACTTAAAAGATCACAGAATCCTAGAGTCCAAGGCTGCTGTCACATTGCAGAGTCCACCTCAATTCATGTCAACCCTGTGAATGAGAAATCTCCAAGACCGTACCTGGGAGCAGAGAATCATGGCCACTCAGCTGCATGGGCCAGACACTCAGTTGCCAAGGATGCATCCTCCTCCTCCTCCTGGAAGATAGTGCTCTGAGTGAGTGAGCAAGCAGGTAGCTGGCTGGGCAAGCAGCTGGCCAAGTGAGAGAGCAGGTGGGTGGGTGGCTGGGCAACTGGGTAAGTGAGCAAGCAAGCTCTAATCATGGTGTTTTCTTTCAGAGGGGGGATGCCCTGGCTGTCTTCCCCTAAGGCTGAGAGAGAGTAACTTGCCCAAGGTCACCCAGTGGGTTTTGCAGCCAGGGTGGGAATCAATGCCTGTTCTGGGAGGTGAGAGTGAAACCGAGAAAAAAAAAAGTAGCAGAAAAAGTGGGATGGTCGAGAATTAATCAGTATGGCCCCTGACAAATCAGGACAATTGGAATGTACAGGCCTGTGTTTATCTTTACAATGAAATTCCCTCTTACCCCTCCTGTTCTGCAGCCCAGAGGAGTAATTTAAATTGTTGTGGGGGT